ACCCCTGGGTGCCTTGAAGAGGCAATACTTCCCCTCTCTCAAGCACAGAGTCTCGGTGTAGCAGAAAATGTTTAACAACATGAGGTAAAGAACATAGCATTAAATTGGGAAACCACCACAACTAGAGAGTTCATAGACCAAACCATGAGCGAAGACCCACCCCAGCAAATTGGGCCGTGTCCTTTCCCGTTGGTTCTTGAAAACCAGCAACCCAAAAATCGCCCAAAGTCCCAAAAGTCACCACGAGCCGCTTCACTCCACCAGCCGTCCTGTGAGCCGCTCCTGCCGTCCCACGAACTGCTCTGCTCTGCTCTACTGGCTGCTCCGCTCCACTCACCGACCCGTGAGCCAGCCATCCCCCACAAATGGCTCTGCTCCACTCTGCTTGCCGTTCCTTGGGTCGCTCCAACTGTCCCCGCAAGGCTCCACTCTGCTAGCTGCTCCTTCAGCCGACCCCACAAACTGCTCCGCCAGCCGCTTAGCAATATAGCTTCAGGCTCCCCTACTAGTTAACACAGCACTCAGTGATCTTGGCTCTTAGTAACTTTAGCTCTTTTGTGATTTCAGCTCATAGTAGGGGAGCCCCAGTGCTGGTGCACTATTGGCCCAAAGTGAATTCAGCTCAGCAGCCTGCAACTAGACTCCTAATGGAATTAAAGTTATCTCTGACATTCAACAGTGGAGAGAGGAGGAGGTGCAATTGGTGTTTTAGGCTCACAAAAGGGTCCCACACCACCAGGTACAAATACCTGCCCCAACCTCTCTCAATTCACTAGGTTTTGTAACCTGTGCCCCTTGTCAAGCGAGTGCTACTTAATTAATGGTGAGTCCATCTGTCATACAACAGTTTCACTGGCCTTGATTCACAGAATCAGGGTAACAAAACTTTATTCTTTCTGCCCCAATAACAGAGAAACTGGGGATCCCACACCAGCCAAAGTAACCACTTTCAGTTGCTGTTGTCTCATGCCAGGTGGGTGGGTTTGCCTATGCACACAAGATCAGCCCCTGGAGTTTTTTTCCACACTTGCCATAATTCACCACCAGATGTCAGGGTAGAGGTCATCCTGACTCTGCTTACATCCATAATCTAAAATACTGTGACGGGTTGGATCACAGAAACCCCCTTGTGAGCTGCCACCCGATGTGCGAAGACTACCCCTGCTTCTGTTTTCCCTGCCAGCTCAGGACTCCAGCACCCTCTGTCTTGCTGCTCCAACACAGACCCAGGGTCTGAATCACTTGCCCCAAAGCTGCGAGTTTACCTGAAAACAGCTCACAGAAGTGTGCTTGTCTTTAGCACTCAGATGCCTAACTCCCAATGGGGTCTAAACCCAGACAAATCCATTTTACCCTGCATAAGGCTTATGCAGGGCAAAATCATAAATTGTTCACCGTCTATAACACTGATAGAGAGATATGCACAGTTGTTTGCTTAGGGTTACCATCCGTCCGGGTTTCCCCGGACATGTCCGGGTTTTTCAGCTTTAAATGGCCGTCGGGGGAAATTTCTAATCAAGTAGAAATGTCCGGGATTTCCCCCTTCCCCTCAGGCAGAGTATGGCGTGGCTGATTGGACGCCTGGCCTGATTGAAAGCCGCTCGCAGCCACTAGGGCCTCTAGCAGCCAGAGTCCCTCCCCCTCCCCCACTCCCTCCTCCTCCACAGAGCAGCGCGGCAGTGTGAGTCCACGTGGAGCCTGTAGCTCTCCCTCTGCCTGGTGAGCGGGGGAGCAGGGCAGGCGGCGGGAGGGTGTAGAGGCTGCAGGGCGAGGAGGAGCAGGTCAGGCAGGGGCATAGAGGCTGCAGGGGCGGGGGGTGCAGAGGCTGCAGGGCGAGGAGGAGCAGGGCAGGCAGGGGCATAGAGGCTGCAGGGGCGGGGGGTGCAGAGGCTGCAGGGCGAGGA